AATTTGGGGATTTGGGGATTTGGGAATATGGGATTAGGGAATTAGAGGATTAGAAAATTCGGGGCTTAGGAAATTTAGAAATTTGGAAATTTGGTAATTTGGAAATTTGAAAACTTGGAAATTTGGAAATTTGAAAACTTGGAAATTTGGAAATTTGGAAATTTGGAAATTTGGAAATTTGGAAATTTAGAAATTTAGAAATTTGGAAACTTGTGTATATGGGAATGTGGAAATTTGGTAAATATTTACTGTAATTTCAACAGCAACTTGTCTTGAGTTATTACTAATATAAATCTTCAACAAGTTATTGAGATAATGGAATAATATGAAGTAACTATTAGCTCTTGTATGATTTATTTGTCAGATAATAAAGAGTTAGAACAAGGAGTTAGAACCTAAAGAAGTTAGAAGAACCTAAGAGTTAGAACAAATAAATGAAGTTGAAGACTTATAACAATTCTGTATTCAATGATCCTTGACTTTACAAATATAATTGGACTTAAACAACAAACTAAAACGTATTATAAAATGGAATTAGATTTGTCACATTTGTGAGTGCATCACGAGTCAGACTTGTCTACAGTAATTTTAACAGATGACTGATTGCTATAACTGTACATCAATCATTTTGTATTATGTACAGGAACGATATTTTTACATGAACATTTTCATTATACTCCATGTCATAAGTTCATGTAGTATGGACACCATTTTGAGACATTTGTAGGTTATCATGTTATAATTGTCTGCCAGCCATTTTGTGTTGTGTACATGGTCCAAATTTTTGTATAGGCATTTCCATTAAACTTCGTACTTTAAATTCATACTGTATTTTGAGAAATTTATAGGTTATGATGTTATAATTGTCTGTCAGCCATTTTGTGTTATGTACATGGTCCAAATTTTTGTATAGGCATTTCCATTAAACTTCGTACTTTAATTTCATACTGTATTTTGAGAAATTTATAGGTTATGATGTTATAATTGTCTGTCCGCTATTTTGTGTTATGTACATGGACGAAATATTTGTATGAACAATTTTATTAAACTTCATATTTTAAATTCATACTGTATAAACACTATTTTGAGACATTTATAGGTTATCATGTTATAATTGTCTTCCAGCCATTTTGTGTTATGTACATGGTCTAAATTTTTGTATAGGCATTTTCATGAAACTACATACTTTAAATTGATGCATTATGAATACTATTTTATTGGTTATAGGTATGATTTATGTATTTGTAGGTTATATACTTATAGGTTATGATGTTATAATTGTTTGTCAGCCATTTTATAATATGTACATGGACTAAATTTTTGTATTGACATTTTCATTAAACTTTATACTTTAAATTTATTCAGTATGAACATTTTATTGGTTATAGGTTATGATTTATATATTTGTAGGTTATATTCTTATGGTATGTTATAATGTTATAAGGTTATGATGTTATAATTGTCAATCAGCCATTTTGTGTCACGTATATGAACGAAATTTTTGTATGGACATTTTCAATAAAACTTCATGCTGCAAATTCATATAATATGAACCTCACATTCATAACCTATAAATGAAGTTGCCTATACCTCGTTATACTTTTGCTAGACTTTGTACGTTTTGAAATATTATAGATCGCGTCTTGCTATAACACAGATATGAGACCTGATTAATTGTTTACATAACCATTTCTACATGTATGTATCGCATGAAGTTATAAACTTTTTATGTATATAAAAACGCAACATGTTATTTGCGACATACACTACCTTTCACAAATGGACAACGGTAATAAGAGTTAATAACAGTTCTTTCTTCAGCATTTATGATTCAGTGTCGGCTTATCTCGACGACAAGAGACAAGTTAATTACAATATACACGGTGAGAAAAAAAGGAGAAATAAAGCAAGTGTGGGCATAGAGAATGGTAGAATGGTTTCGCAAAGTTGCAACAATGAATCTTTTGCGGGAGGCGGTCAGATGGCGAGAACAATAAATAATGTGGTAGTAAAATTGTAAAATAGTAAAACAGCAGAATAGTGAAATAGTAGAATTGTAAGGTAGTAAATTAATAAAATAGTGAAATGATAAAATTGTAAAATAGTAAAACAGCAGAATAGTGAAATAGTAAAATTGCAAGGTAATAAATTAATAAAATAGTGAAATAGTAAAATTGTAAAATAATAAAACAACAAAATACTGAAATAGTAAAATTGCAAGGTAATAAATTAATAAAATAGTGAAATAGTAAAATAGTAAAATAATAAAATAACAAAACAGTGAAATAGTAAAATTGTAAGGTAGTAAATTAATAAAATAGTGAAATAATCAAATCATCAAGTAGTAAATTAATAAAATAGTGAAACAGTAAATTGTAAAATAGTAAAACAACAAAATATTGAAATAGTACATTCATAAAGTAGTAAACTAATAAAACAGAGAAATAGTAAAATTGTAACATAATAAAACAGTAAACTATTAAAGTAGCAAAACCACAACGTAGGAAAACAGTAAAACAGTAAAATATTAACTACAAAAACAAAACGACGCCAATGATAAAATAGCAATAATTGTCAATTACTGAGATAGTGAGCTAAAATAATAAAGCACTAAAAAGTGATACCAAAATAATAAAATAAAAAAACAGCGAACCAGTAAATAAGATAACAATTAAATAAGACCGCAAAATAATAAGGTAATAAAATGTTTAAACAACAACAGTATCGATACTCTCAAAAAACTATATTCTTACACGAAAATATATGCACAGTACATAAGAAGGAAGTAGAGTAATGAATTGAAAGGAGAATTTTTAAGAAATTTATTTCTAATAAACAAATGTGTATAACTAAGAAAGTAAATACATTTGTTTACAGCCGAGAAATTTTCAACGGCTATAAGGCATCACAGTGGCCATTTTCGTCATGCCACAGCCGAGATATGGGATCCTCACCCTCAGTACGAGTTCACCGCCTTCGGAAGACGCTTTCGTTTACGCCTCGCTCATGATTCCAGCTTTGTATCACCGAATATCAGAGTACGTACAGTCAATGACAAATTTACCTTTCCTACGAAAAAAATATAGCGATCAAGGTGAAAGAAGTGACCTGGCTTGACTTTTGACAAATATTTGGACATTTGAAAGTTAGACGATTTGTTAGGGTTTTGGGGATTTGGAGATTTCTGGATTTGAAGATCTGGGAAATTTGGGGATTTGGGAATTGAGGGTTTTAGATTTAAGAATTTGGGGATGTGAAAAATTTGGAGATTTCTGGATTTGGAGGTTCGGAAAATTTGGGGATTTGAGAAATTTGTGAAGGTTTGGAGATTTGGGGACTTGAGGATTCTAGATTTAGGGATTTGGGGATGTGAGAAATTTGGAGGTTTGGAGATTTGAAGATTTGGAGATTTGGGGATGTGAAAAATTTGAAGATTTGGAAATTTGGAAGTTTGGAGATTTAGAGACTTAGAAATTCGAGAAACATGGGACTTGGGAATTAGGAAATTGGGAAATTGAGAAATTAGGAAATTAGGAATTTGGGAGATTGGCTAAGTAGGAAATTGGGAAATTGGTGATTGAGGAAATTGTAAAATTGGTAAATTGATAAATTAGGAAATTGGGAAATTGGGAAATTCTGAAAGTAGGAAATTGGTGAATTAGGAAATTGCGAAATTGGGAAAGTGAATAAGTGGAAAAGTGGAAAATTGAACTATTGGAAAATTGAGAAATTGGAAAATTACAAAATTGGAAAATTACAAAATTACAAAATTGCAAGATTAGAAGATTGGAAGATTAAAGCACGGGAAATTAGAAAATTGAAAATCTTTACGTCAAATCCTTCACAAACCTCAAATACAATTTTCAAATAAGAAAATTTCCAAATTCAGATAAATGTGCCCATCCAACTAAAACGAGCGTTGCACCCGAGTGTACACAATCTTCCCTCCCATTTTCCTATTGATTCATAAACTCGTTCCTCCAGCCGGAGTTTATTGAACCGCTATCGTGAAAGTGATAATTCAATCTGGCGATCGTCGTTTTGATCGTCAGAGATATAGGTGTTTATTGCCGCTAATGCTATTACGTTTATCAACGGAAAAGTTATCTTACGTTCCTCGTTATTACTATGCTAATGCAGCCGATATTATCGTGGACGAACAGCGTTAAGACTTTGCATAATGTTCTTCGCGGTGTTCATCGCGATAGACCAGGCGTTAAAAGCTGTTTCGCCCACCATCTTTACGTTTTTCAATTGTTTATCGCGAATATCGGCCATGCAAATTGCGCGACATCCTTTTATACAATGTATTTATATACAAGCTTGATGGCAATTTTATTTGGACATATTTTACCTTGACCATAGTGGAATCCCATTTTTACTTGTTATGGAGCTTTTTTATTTGTTAGCTGTTTATTAATTGTTTATTAGGAAATTGGGAAATGGGGAAATTGGTGAATTAGGTAATTGGGAAATTCGGAAACTGGGAAATTGGGAAATTGGTGAATTGGGAAATTGGGAAAGTGGTGAATAGGGAAATTGAGAAATTGGGGAATTGGGAAATTGGGAAATTGAGACACTGGAAAATTGGAAATTTGGGAAATTGGGAAATTGGTGAATTGGTGAATTGGTGAATTGGTGAATTAGGAAATTTGTGAATTGGGAAATTGGGAAGTTGGGAAATTGGGAAATTAGGAAATTGGGAAATTGGATAAGTGGGAAAGTGGTGAATAGGGAAATTGGGAAATTAGGAAATTGGGAAATTGAGACAGTAGAAAATTGGGAATTTGGGAAAGTGAAAAATTGGTGAATTGGGAAATTGGGAAATTGGGAAATTAAGAAAGTGGATCATCATTGTTCTTAATGATGATCGTTATTTCTTGTTCCTGTCAACTTCTATTAAAAAACTGCCCGGATTACATGGTTTACTAATCATTTGCGTGTAGCTTATTATTACTGATGTTTTTCAAAATTTCTATGTATAGTTTTACGTTCTTTAGTGTATGGAGATTTGTTTTGTGATGATGTATTAATAAAAATGGCGGAGTACAATGTTGGCTTGGTAAAAAATTTTTGTTAGTCAACTAGTTTTAATTTAATTCATTTTTAATAACTAATTCTGTGTACTTCATATGTAGTCAAATGTGTTTAATATCAATTGATGAGGCAGTTTGATAAATTCAGGATTAATTATTAATTCAGAGTTAATTAAACATTAGTTATTATATGTTGGTTAATCATATATTAATTCAATATACGTTATTGCATATTAATTATGCAATTATTAATATAAAAATTAATTAATCTATATTGATTAATTACGTATTAATTCAATATGAATTATTGCGTATTAATTAATCAAATCTAAATTCAGTATTACTCAATGCATTAAATTCAAAATATTTTTGAATGAAATATAATATAGTTCCGTTTTTCTTGTGCAGATAACCCACATAAAAGAGAATAGCACCACAAAAGTACACCCAGGCCATCAAATTGGTTGCTTTTATAGTGGAACCGTGGACGATGATCCAAATTCAGTGGTCAGTGTCAGTCTTTGCCATGGAATGGTAAGTCAGTTTAAATTAATTCTTAATTAATTATAGTACGAGAAAACATATCAATGATAGGTATAAAGCAGTGCATGTTGATTATTAATTAGCTGCGATAAGGAACATTAATGACGTACTTGACCAGCTCGAGAGTAAGTGGTATAAAAAATTACAGGATGATTACTAATTAATTATGATGAGAAGAGTAGATAAGTTGCTTGATCAGTTCGAGGGTGATTGATACAAGAAATTATGTTTTAAATTTTATGTAACTGTGATAAGGAAGGTACAAATCAATTATAATCCTGATATCAATTTATGAAGCCGATTTCTTTGGTCAAAATTATGAATTCACAGTTTTATGTATTTCAATTTCCTCATTTCCCAATTTAGATTTGGAGATTTGAGAAACATGGAAATTGGGAATTTGGAAATTGGGAAATTGGGAAAGCGGGCAAGTGGGAAATTGGGAAATTGCAAAATTGCAAAATTGCAAAATTGCAAAATTGCAAAATTGGGAAATTGGGAAATTGGTGAATTTGGGGAATTTAGGGAATTTGGAAATTAGGAAATTGGTGAATTTGGTGAATTTGAAAATTGAGAAATTGGGGGATTTGGAAATTAGGAAATGGGGAAATTAGGAAATTGGTGAATTTGGAAATTGAGAAATTGAGAAATTGGGAAATTGGGAGATTGGGAATTTAGGAAATTGGGAAATTGGGAAATTGGTGAATTTGGAAATTGAGAAATTGGGTAATTGGGAATTTGGTGAATTTGGAAATTGAGAAATTGGGGGATTGGGAAATTAGGAAATTAGGAAATTGGGAAATTTTGAAAATTGGGAAATTGGTGAATTTGGAAATTGAGAAATTGGGAAATTGGGAAATTGGGAAATTGGGAAATTGGGAAATTGGGAAATTGGGAAATTGGAAAATTGCAAAATTGGGAAATTGGGAAATTGGTGAATTTGGAAATTGAGAAATTGGGAAATTGGGAGATTGGGAAATTGGGAGATTGGGAAATTGGAAGATCGGGAAATTAGGAAATTGGGAAATTGGGAAATAGGCCATAATATTCCAGCAAACATTTCGAAATTTGCTGCACGAAAATATAGAACTAAAATTATTATTGTACCGTAATTCGTTCAAGAGTCAAATTATTATTAATTTAAATTTGAACATTCAATTTTTCATTTTTAATTTTGTCACTATTAATTACTCATTTTAAAAATTAATTAATACAAACATAAACCGATAAAAATTAAAATCAGGATTATTACAGTATAATCTTGATTACTATAATCTTTTATTAATTTTAGGATTATCACAAACAAATCTGTGTAACTAGATTAGATTTAATTATGCTATAAATAACACTGATTCTTGTCTGATCAAATTATTTTGAGCACTGACCGTGCTCAAAATTACTAGACACATCATTCTGTATCTTTATCACACGTCAGCATCGATGATTCAGAATCGACCCAAAATCTAGATATCCCGCTAGGTAATATTACCCAAGTGATGAATGATCCTAATTAGCAGATAGCGAAAACAAAATGAATCACTTTCCCAATTTAACATCGTTTGAGTTCAACTAACTTTCAAGTTACTCAAAACCTAACCTAAAATCAGAGTATGATATTGACATAGGTCGAGTTAGAATTTCACTTTAGACAACTTCTGTAATCAGTTTTTACCAAACTATTATAAGATAATTGTCAATCTTCAAGTAATCTTAAATTGAAATTTAATCTTTGTCAGAAGATGTAGTATACAGTATACAGTTTATCCTCACCAAACTACTAAAATAAAGAAAGGTATGTTTAAGAAAAAGATGTCGAATTAAGCTGTCTTGTCATAATTTTTTAAATCCTATATAACATTCTTACAAATAAATATAAATGTAAAGTATATTGACAAAGTTTGACAAAAAAGTGGGATTCATGTATCAGTGTTTTTCCCACACAATAAAGATTTAAAAAATCCATATATCCTGTACCATCTTTACTTTAACAAAAAGAGTGTGTCAATAACCTTCGACAAAAAGCAAAAACCCTGTACAAATTTATTTTTATCATACTTCGTGGGTCGATTAACAATTACCTCGTTATAAACAAGATTTACCCGAAATAAACGTGTTAATTACAGAAACCTGTGTGCATAAATACTCGGATAATTGTGGACACTCGTGTGTTTTTACGATCGCATTCTTCGCGCATTTCGTAGCGAAGTCAGTAGGTGGCACACAATTCAGATTGGACATTTGCCACGGTAATGCTAGAACGAGTTTCCGGATTATCTTGGCAAACGTGTGGTAAAGTGGCGCCCGACAACTCGACCGAGTTGGGCAGAGAATCTCGATGTGGTTTTTCCTTGCCAATCGATTTCTCACGGTGTCGGATTCTCTTTGTAACTGGTTTTTCTTTCGGTAAAGTAGCTCTCGAGCTTATAAGTAGCGTTTGATACCCGTGACAATCATGATTAATCGATTTAATTGGATAATGTATGATATGTCTGTCGTCTTGGTGATACTTTGATTGGCAAATTGGTACTGAAAGATCTTTTATGTGTTTTTTAGTATTATTGAATTTCAAGAATTATAATTCTTGAATATAAGGACTGGATGTTATTTTGAACTTGTTTTAATCAGAGATTAAGTTATCATTCAGTTATGTTAAGTTTTCATTTTGTTTATTTAATTATGCAAATGGTATTTTAATTTCTACAGTTTCTACAGTTTTAGTTTCTACAATTTCTACAATTTTAATTTTTACAAATTTTACAATTTTAATTTCTATAATTTTAGTTTCTAGAATTTATACAATTTCAATTTTTACAAATTCTACAATTTTAATTCTTACAATTTCTACAATTTTATTTTCTACAATTTCTACCATTTCAATTTTTACAAATTCTACAATTTTAATTTCTACTATTTTAGTTTCTAGAATTTCTACAATTTCAATTTTTACAAATTCTACAATTTTAATTTCTACAACTCCTACAATTTTAATTTCTACAAATTCTACAATTTTAATTCTTACAATTTCTACAATTTTAATTTCTACAATTTCTACAATTTTAATTGAAGCTCTCCTTCCTCTTAAAATTTTCATTAAAACTTAATAGACAGAAACAATATTTGACTCAACTATGATTTAATTCAAATTTTTATTATTTTAAATTTTAACTAAAATTTCCTTCTTGCATAAAATTCTACTTGAAACTTGTTAGATAGAAACTAAATTTCAATTGCTCAACTACAACTTAATTTCTATACTCTCAGATTTTAACTCAAATTTCTTACTCTCAGAAAATTTGAATTAAAACTTAATGACAATTAACACGAATTTCATTAAGCATTTAGCATTCTATAATAATTATATTTGAACATCTTTTTGTTTCAAGTCTTGACAATATTAAAAGACTCACAAAATTAATTCAAAATAATTTTGCAATACAAAAGTAAAATCTGCGAAAATCTTAATTTATTTATAAACCACTAAATGTCCACATAACTATTTGTACACTACAAATTTTTTTAACGACGAAAAACGTCAAATTAAAAGTAAATATAATAAATTTCAACAGCCAGAAAATATTTTGACTTTGCAAAAAAAGATCGAACAATCAAAAACTTTGTATCATCAGTTTTTACGATCAGACCATAAATTCTCGCAGGCTGCATCGAATGCAGATTCGATTCCTCGAAACGAGCAACGTTCACCGATCGCCGGTTTACCATGAATTTCCATGGAAGGAAAATAATAACCGAAGGTCGTACATCGACCGATTATTTACGTGTCATTCGTGCATGTTTCTAGCAGTCGAGATTTACGAGTTCCTCTAAACTTGTCCGTTTCGTCTTCGACCAGCAGAAACGTGGTTCCACAAATGGCGACTACGCGACGTGTTTCCTGCAGCGACTGTTCCGTCAATATTTAAGAACCACGCGACGAGTTTAAAGTCAGCGGTGCGAAAACCGTTCGCAACGGTGGCGAAAATTCAATATTTTCGAACGCGCGTGTATTTCTGTCTCCCGAGATTCTGTGACTTCATTCGTTATTACGGGATGATATATTGTCTTCGGAGAAACTCGGGCATAAACATGGACGAAGACGAAAATTCTGGAAGTTTTATTTCGTGCGTTTACAGATGTGATCTTTCCTTTTAATGTTCTTGAGATGTTGCTGCGTTCAGAAATTATTGAACTCCGCTCGAAGACGGGTAGGAGGCTGTTTTTTATTCAACCTTGATTTATCGTCTTTTGAAGTGGAAGTTTCAGACTTTTATTTTTATGTTCGTAACTTGGATTTTCAGACTTACTCTTATTTGTCGCATCGAGTTCTCGGATTTTTTCTTTGTACTCGCAACTTTGACTTTTGCGTTTCTATTTTTATGCTCGCAAGTTCAAATTTTGGGACTTTCTTTTCATATTCGTAATTTTGAATTAGGACTTTTAGTTTTATAGATGCAGCTTTGAATTTTGGGATTTTTACTTTTAGATTCACATCTTCGAGTTTTGGCATTTTTAATTTTTATATTTTAGCTTTAACTTTTGGACTTACATTTGCAACTATCTTTATGTTTGCAACTTTGTATTTGCAACTATCTTTATCTTTGCAATTCTATATTTGCAACTTCGATTTTTGACAGATTTATTCTTAAATTTTGAACTTCTAATTTTATTTACTATTTACACGTCTGCATCTTTAAATTTCGGGATATTTATTATTATGTTTGCAATTTTGTATTATGTCATTTATTTAGACATCAGCAACTTCGTTTTTTGGAACTTATTTGTACATGTGCAGCATTGAATTTTGGGAATTATTATTATATTTGCAAATTTGTTCTTTGTCACTTATTTGTTGATTAGCAACTTTGGAAAAGTTATTCCTATACTTGGAACATTGTATTTTGTCACTTACTTGTTCATCTGCAACTTTGAAATTTAAGAATTATTTTTATATTTGCAACTTTGTATCTTGAAACTTACTTGTTCATCTGCAACTT